AATCAGATATTTCATTAGAAAGCACTACTGTGGTGTTCATTCCCCTCTTTATTACTTCTAGAAAGAGAATATGAAATTAGTTTCATTGGATTGCCATTGCCACTTGCCTTGACCCATTTTTACGAGGGCTCCATGTTCTGCTGTTTTGTATTTCATTGTCATTTCTAAAATATTTGTTCCCTTCCACCCCTCACAAAATCACAAAATTAGTATTTAACTTACTTCTGTGGTATGTTATTTTCCACATATTTAAAGAGAGACCACAATGTTTGCAGTGAACACACAATACAGAAGAGCTTTCCTACAGCTTTCTACTATGCCTCCTTTTATTTACTAATGTTCCTCCATGATTTAAGATCTGAACTATTATAAATTGCCAGATTTGTCTAAATCAAAGCCTCTGAGAAAAAAAGGGCGGAGGGACATAATTTTTAAAAAAGTGACAAAAGTAACAGTGTATCAGAAAGCATGTGAAAACCGTTCCTGTTTCTCTAAAGTCAACATTTGACTGCTCTTAAATCAATATGTACCTACCAGCTTCAGCAGATCTATCTGTCAGCTTATGTAGAAAATGAAAGGCAAGGTCTCCCTGCTCTCTGAATAGTAGGTACTTTGCTGCAGTGGTGGCTCATTACTCCAGAGAACCAGCTTATCCACCCCAGCACTTCAGAGACAACAGCTTGATTCATCGTTTTCCCAACTGAGTCAGGTTTCTCTGCCCCAGCAATTAACAATGAATTAGCACTATATTAAAGTGCCAGGCAAGATGGTTATTCTCTGGAGTAGTCACCTTGGACACAGAAGACGAATAGTGGGAGAAGGGAGAGAAATTAGATTTACTGTGTCCCAGCACATCCGTAACAAGCACTGAATCCCTGGTTGGCAATGGGAAGCGGCTGTAGGCACTTCTCAGCATTAACACTCCAGAAAGGTCCAATGCCAGCGAACAGCCCGGGAACGGTGGGATTTAGGGAGGGATGGAAAGTAAGACAGGGTACCCTCACCTCTGCAGAGTAGGAAGCTAAACACAGAAGCATGAGGACTGCTTGCTGCAAAGTGACTACTCTGCATGCAGTCTGTCCAACAGATCTACGTAAGAGCCAGGCCAGGCCAGATCAAAGGTCCAGCCAGGATCCTGCGTCTGATGGTGGTGGAAGAGGCTGAGAAGAGGGCAAAAATATAATAATGCTTTCCAACACACGCTTCCATCCTCCAGCAACCTGTGGCTCAGGCACTCCGTAAATCAGAGGTGATGTCCTTGTGGTATCCAGCTAGCAACAAACTCACAGGTCTTTTCTTTAGTCCCACAGCAGCACTTTGTGATTACACCACATTGCACAGAACGGGGGGAGAGAGAATCACTTAGTGCACACCTGAATTTCCTTAAAAACCAAGCGAGGGGCCGTGGCGAGCTCAGCCTGCATGCACAGCAACATGTAGGTGTAGCGTGGATGCTCTGCAACCAGCATGTGAAGGAAATCCCATGCTCTGGCACATCCATATGGTCACACCCGATGCTGCCAGAGAACACAGCCATGTCACAGAGCTCCACAGGGCTCACGTTTTATGACTCCTCAGCACAATAATAAATAAATCAAGTGTGCAGGGAGGAATTTCTTGTGCACTGAGCTTCCACTATAGACATTTTTTATTTCAGAAACAGGAAAATATTTGATTAAATGGATTAATATATGGCTGACAGGAAAAATCTAATGGAATAGAGAAAAAAAGACAATGTTTCTTTTTAAAGCTCTGAACGTAAAACTAAACAGTGAGGTACAGGCTAATAATACCGAAAAGAGGGCAAGAACCTGCCACAAAAGAAACAACAATCCCTTAAACATCAAGAGCCAAATTCTGTCCAGCTGATCTTCTATAGCACTACAACAACTGCCCCACTGCACACACCCTGCTGTTACAGGACAGAAACCAAACCCAGCCTTGGGGTGATTCCCTCACTGAAGGTGTGCCTAACCCTGTAATCGGCCAGTGAACTACACAAAACCCGTCTCAATGAAATCTTTGTCATTTCCAAGAAGCCATACGGGGGAAAAGGCTGAATTTTATCCATCCATTATCTTTTGCCTGGTTGTGCCTCTTGTGATGATAGCCAGGAGTTTCTTCCAAATCCTTCAGTATGACGGAGGGGCATCCCCAGCCCAGAGAGGGCTCGATCATGGTGGCAGAGAGCTCTGGCAGCAGAATGGGGCAGCCTGTTTTCAGACTCTCCCAGTCTCGCAGCTGGAGGAGCAGGAGGCTCAAGCATCAGACACAAGTTACCGTACACACATCAAGTCCATCAGAGCAGAGAGAAAGATGGGGTGGGCGGCGAGAGAAAGCAGAACTAAGAGCCTCCTGCCTGCTTCGGTGTTACAGTACTGCACCTGCTGGTAGTCACAGCGCTGCTACTTGTATCTTCTTCAAAGGACTGTCATCTTGACATCGAGGCTGCAGGTAAGGGCTTGACTTACAGTGCACTTTTCACTAGCAAAGCCTGCAAAGCAAAGTAGGTTGGTGACTGCAGCTCTTGGATGTTTCCACCCCCTGCTAAAATGCAGCCAGGCATCGTGGCAGACATTCTGCACCCGCCACCGCTTTGAGAAGGAAATGAGAACTGCTTTCCCACTTGACACTACGGAGGGAATTTCAGATAGGCAGAATGTAATTACTTGGCCTGGAGTTCAGCCAGGAGCGGGGCCCAAGACCCCTACCCTTATGTAAAGTGTCAAAAAATCTCCAATGACTGCAAGTGTGAGGACCTCAGCTTTACATCTCTGGCTGCTGTCATTGATTCTTCATGGCTAATTACCTAATAGTGACCCTTGAAGCAAAGCCATAAAACAAACCTTGCTGCTTGAAACAATTCAAGTCCCAGAGACTGAAAACTACCCAAAAATTGTTTGGTGCAGGGTATCTTTTGACAGTAGGGAGCAGGTGGACAGCAAGCCTCCTGTGTCTTGCACTGGTTGCGTGCCACTCAGAAACCTACTGGGGTTTTTGGATGGGCAAACATAGCTTTAAAATGCAGCACCCCCAAAACACAAGCCTACAGTATCAACTGTATACCAGGGTCTCCAGAGTTTTGCTGTATGTAGTTGCCAGCTGGTTCCACTTATTTTTCTTCATTTTTCATATTTTGACTGTAATAAATAATTAATCCATGGCTTTGTAACTTGCTGACAAATACAAATGCATCACATTCCAATGCAGTGTAACGTGTCACTCACAAGAGCCAATCTGCACGACGCAGAAAAGTGATGTGCAGAAGGCTTTGGAAAGTAGGCTAATCATCAAGGTCACCAACAAGAGCTCAGGGAAACTTTTTCTTCAAACTGTCCCTTAGAGGATATTCCTACTTGCTGTGGGCACCAGAACTGGGTTAATATGTTCAGATCTACACAGGTCAAGCCGTCTTCCCACGTTAGCTCAGCCTTTTACCCTTTTGTAGCTCCTTGCCTCCAAGATCCCACAAACTTTTGGGAACACGGAAGACAAAACTTGCAATGTTAATTACTTAGAGCACTTCCCCTACTGTATAGTTCTGAGAATCCAAACCTCAGGAAATGTATTTTTTCTTCCAGGCAAAGACAGCATGGAAAGCAAGGAAGTTGGTAGCAGAAGAGACAAAGGAGACTGAACTAGGCAATAATTAATCTAGGTGAGACCGACATGTTTCAGAAGGGGCAGGGCTACAAGACAGAAAAACCTCCCGCCTTTGGAAAAAGGTGACTAAATAGTTGGCAGCAGTGCTAGCAATACAGAACAAGAGCAGCGACAAAGAATAGAGGCTGAATGTCAAGGTTCACACCAAGAGTAGCAAAGCAGTGCAAGCTGCCATCAAACGACAAAGGGGAGAGCAAAGGTGGGAGGAGGAACTGTGAGATTATCAGAGAGAAATGCAGTACAGACGACTCTCTGAGAGCGGTCACACAATGGGATCAGGTGAATGGCACCAAGCGCCAGTGGCAATCCAAAAGGTTGGTCTGCTGTGGAAGGCATCACCCCAGCTTTTTAGATTGAAGAAACATCTCCTGAGCCTCTCTTGACCATCAGCAGATGTTTGGGTTTGTGACATGCATCACTAGTTATTAGGAATACACATAAGCTGGAACTGCAAAGATGAAAAATCTTGTAGTATTTTCACTTCATTTTCCCTACGCATATTTGTATCTATCTATTTCTCATACTATTAAGACCTGAGACAAGGATAGAACAAAGGTGCACAAACCAAAAATTCATACTAGTCACAAAGGTTGTAGAGAGGAGCAAGACAATCCTGAGGAGGCTGTGAAATGAAGGCCTGTTCCTCGCAAAATACTCACCATGGTCATTTTAGAAGTACTTTTAAAAGTTTCAGTGAATATAAAAACACTTCTCCATGTTACGCTCTTCAAAACCCCTGTGTTACCCATGCATGGACAAACTTCCTCTCCTACCCTCCTACTTTTCCTGAAGTGTTATCTGGCTCTTTCCAACAAAAGCAAATGTATGGCTGCAGTTGCCCGTTGGCCACCATTTGAGCGTGGGTATCAGGGGTGCTCAGGTTCTGTGAGAAGGAGCGAGTGACCAAGTCCCCACTCCTGTTCCGCTTCCTAAATAACCGCACACTTCTTGCTGTTGCTGTGGAACACATTTGTACTCCTCTAAATGTCAGCAGCTTTAGACAGCTAAATTGTGTTTCAGTCACAACACAACTACTGACACCAAGGAAGCTCCGTAGTATCACTACTACTGACCTTGCTGTTATCGGTGGCATGGATTGTCACATCCCTTCTCTTCAACCATCAACACAAACCTGCACTCACTCACACACATGCTGCAACATACACCCAGTGAGCTCTGAACCTGACAGCTGTGGCTTGCATGTGGCCCTACAGACAGATGAAAACTGGTGTGTCTCAACCTGCAAAGCAGAAGGAAGCTGGAACCAGTTGCTTCTCTCTACCTCTGACAGCTGCTCCCCCCCGCAGACACCCCGAGAAGGAAGTTAGCGCTCTGACCTGCACAGGCTCAGGAGTGAGCTGGACAACATGCTGCATACGCTCACTGTGGTGATGTCTGGACTCCTCCTCATAGATCACATCCCTCTCATGCTGGGGAAGGTTCAGGAAGCGGCGAATGGTGCAGAGGTTCTCCCAAAGGGTGCGGTTTTCCGGACTTGGGTTTTCTTTCCAGCGAAGCAGCTCACACAGCCAGCCCTGCAACGGTAGGGTCAGCACAGGTAATTCACTGAGCACCGAGGAACCAGATGTGAGTGGAACGTCAGCTAGACTTAAAGCTCTGTGCTGCAAGTTTCGCTGGTCTCATCTCACACAGAACACCCCCTACCCTCAGCTGCCTTTTGGTCTCAACAAATCCTTGATATATTTCCTGCAAGTTGGAGAAACAGACACAACCAGCAGTGCTTAACAGGAACCAGGAAGCCCAGCGTCTTGCCCCCGAGCATGTTAAAAATGCTCGGATAGAAATATTTTTCCTGTAGAAAACCAGAGTTGCAATAAAGGTGCACCTCCACTTCCGTTTCAGAGCCCCTTTATTTCTTTATCCAAGCAAGAGAAAAGGAGACATAACCCCTGAGACTTGCTAACAACCCTCATGCTAAGGGTTGCAGCTGCAGGACCAGAAATTCAACCACTACTGAAAACGTTTAGAAGAAGAAACTATCAAGTAAAGACCTTTGATCTGCTGTCACTATGTTTTATTGACTCCCCCAGCTCTGAACCCCACTAAAATTTGACAGCTTTAAATAATCAAATGGTAACTTAGAAGATGTAACTTCACGGAAAGGGAATCCTCTAATATTTAGCATGAAAGCAGCAAACAGGGTCCTGCAGAAGTTACTAGACAGATCAAGATACTAGGTGGAGGAGGTTGTTCTAAACCCAACTACAGATCATAAATCATAATAATAATAGATTTTATCCCTGCTATATTGTTTTAAGGCTAGTTTGAAATGCCTTCAAAAAGTTACCACTGTATGAAGTCCTGTAGGACCTCTCCGCAGGGGCTGAGAGCTCAGACCCCTGGAAGGGAAAGCACCAGTGCTTCAGGAAGAGGAAACCACTCTAAAACACAAAGCCAACCAGAGAGCACAATGGCAACAGCTGTTAAGGTGAGGACGCACAAGCACAGGTTGAGCATGTGTGGCGGTGACCTGGCATCCTCAGCAGGTTAACAAGGGATGGTGGCTGTGGCTGCACCTGCCCGGGGAGGGGACAGCCAGCCCCATCCTGCCTGCCAGCAGCCGGCCCCGCCTGCGCGCAAGGAGACGCAATGCAAATGACAGAATATGAGAAGATAATGCTGAGGATGCTGTCAACGCCCTTACTGACTCCTGTCAAAATATTTTACCTAGTAGCTTTATAACCCATCATTTTTGAGCTACAACTCAGCATTTTGACACCATTTTGACAGGCACCTTGCAATACCTAAAAGATAGCTTGATCAATGTTAAAAATGGTCGGTACGAGAAGTAGCCAAAACTGTATTTTTCCAAACAGCAACTAGAGCAAACTGATCAGCCAGGTTCATTACCGGCCCATGTGGGGTTTTTTTGGTATTGCTTTTTTGTGTAACAACTTGTAAGCCATTGACAACTTCTATCGTGCACTCTAAACCCCGTATATAATATCGTAAGCCGTTGTTTGTCTTACTCTCCACTGTGTCTTCTGCCTTCACCCCCCCAAAAAAGGCAAGATTTGATTATCTCCGCTGCATCAGCCAAGACAGCAACACCAGCTGTTCTCATTGTGCAGCCTCTTCCTCACGGCCTACATGTTAATAACCTGATCATTCCATTTTCTCCTTCAACTGCCGGCTGCAGCACAGCGAAGAGACAAAAACCCAGGCCCATCTGCAGCAGCTGTAGGCACTGAACTGTGAAGCCACCAGGGATTTATAAACTAATCTGTAACACAACACTGCCTTGTTTTTACAAGTGAGAGGCCACATTTGTGCAGACCTGATCTTTTCTTGCAATAAACTAGGAGGGTTGGGGGGGGGGGCAAGGATGAAAACAAGATATCTAATCATTTACTTAGGGAAAAAAAAACCCTGTACTATATTTTCAAAGTATTTTGACTGGTATTTGGGTAATCTCTCAGCCAGGTGATGTCTGCATTTTAATGTGGTTTGGCCACATCCCTTGCCCTCAGTTCT